GGGGGGGGGGGGGGGGGGGGGGCGGAAAAGTAGTTACCATAGCCATTTCTGTGAGCTATTTGTTATGGTTTGCTGAAACAAGTCCAAAACAGGAAATTTAGCAGACAACCACAGCCAAAAAGTGTCATGTGAATTACAAGAAAAAGAGCCCATTTAAGGAAAGATAGAATTAGAAAGACTTTGCACTATAATTCCATGTTGAACAATTTAGTCACAGTGTCTTGTACTGGAGGAAACACAAAATCTAAAGGAGCAGTCATGATTTCTTCCCAAGTGTTTTTCATCATTTACTATGGAACAAGGGCCCATGTCTGTAGGACATTAAGACATTTATGGGAAAGCTCAGGATTCATCTTCTATTTTTATGTTAAATATACCCCTCTCCTTTTCAGTTAACATTATGGAAAGTAAAAAAAAAGTCCTAGAAAACTTGCATAAGATATATGAAAAATAATTAAAAGTTTAAATTTAAATATTAAATGATGAGACTGAAAATAGGATACATGTACTATTTAAGTCTTTTGGTTTATTTCAAGTTTGCAATTTTATCTCGTATTATATATTACCCAAATGTTTTTCATGTAAGGAAAAAATTTCCTCATTTGCTTATGCTTATGTGTATTTTTTATAGTTATTTTCATTTACTTTAGAAACTTTTAACATAGGATCATTCCAATTTATGCATATAAAGCATTAATTGAAAAATAATTATAGTTGTTCTTACATGAAAATAAAATCACCAATAGAAGTTAATGAATACTTTTATAATAATGTAATATAATTTCCCTTTATTTCCTCTTCTGTTTTGAACTGCTGCTATTATATAGTTTACATATCCCAGCCTTTAAAAAATATTCGTGTTATTAGCTTTACAGAAGTTGAGGTTTAATTAAAAATCTTGGCATCCTGAAGTATGTCACATGCCACGTGCTTCTTACAAAGATTACGATATCCCAGATGAATCATCCTAATTTTCATTTTATGAAAATCATACTTGAAAGTGTTGTAATACTCATCTTTTATAACGTTTCCCTGGTTTTGCTTCTCTTCTTATGTCATTAGTTTAAACAGTTTATTTCATTAAGCAGTTTATTTTATTAAACAGTAGATGGAATAATAGACCCCCGTCTACATTAATTTCCTGTCTACTTATATATTTTAAGATAAACTTTTCAAAACAAAGAAAATAATTTAAATTTTAAGACTAAAATTACACTCTGTTTAAATCTCTGGTTTTTATACTTTTTTGCTTTTTGTTTCAAATAAAATACACTTTGCAATTTATTTTGTTTTACATTATAATTACAAAAGAAGAAGTTATAAGTGGAGGACTTTCTATACCAGGAGGAGTGGTCAGTAATTTCCCTAGTGTTGCTGCTAACTTGGATTGCCAAATAAAAAAATGTAGTATCTTTT